GAGTAATTTACTCCCAGGTTTCTCCCAGTAGCAGGCAGTGCTCACCTGTGCTACAGCACATTCCACATCCCAACACAGCCAGGTTTAACTGGTTAATTAATAAAATTAACTTTTCCGGTTGGTTTGGTGTGAGCTGGGCTGTGATTCCCTGTGTTTTCCACCTGAAATGATTCCTCCTGGAAGCTCCTGAGTGGGAAATGCCTGGAAAGCTCAAGGTCGGGGCAGGAAAATCTGCTTTGGAAAGAAAAAGGATTTTAATAAATTCAGACTTCTGGGAAGGAGTTAAACCCTGGCTTGGGCAGAGCAAAGAGCATTTCTCCCCTCTTTCCATGGGGTTTGAGCAAATCCTTGGAATTAACCAAGGGAAGTTTTCTCCAGAGGGAACAGACCCTGGAAAAGAGGTGGATGAACCTGGGCCTTGTTTTCCACGTGCTCCAGACCAATCCCACCTCTTTTTCCGTTCCCTCGGATCAGGATGGGGATTCCAATTCCCAGAAAACAGAAATTCCAGCCAGCCCATCCAACATTCCTGTTGGTAATGCTGCAATCCATCATATTTAAGGAGTAAATGTAGGAAAGCCCTCAATGCCCCAGATCCCAGGAAATTCCCTTTCCAACCAGCAGCTCCCTGGAGAATTCAGTGCTGTGGGAATGATGCTTTGGAGGAATTTTTTATTTTTCCCTGGCCCAAGGAATTTTTTCTGGGAGCAGCTCCTGCAGATCATCTCTCCCAGTGCCACTCAGCCTTTGCTCCACGGGATTCCTTCCTCACCCTAAAAAAAAATCTTTCCTGAGACCTGGAAGCTCTTCTGGCTTTTCCCTGAATCCCAAACGCCATTCCTGGGCTTCTCCTGGCAGCTCGGCAGTGGAATTTTGAGGAGCCAGCTGAGCTGCCAACGTCCCTGCACACATTCCATCAAAACATGTCATCCTTCCACAAAGACTGACAAATTCCCAGGAAAATCTGTCCTCCCAGCCAGCCCTTCCCAGGAGGCCCCAGACAGCATCGACACTCCCCAGATCCCTTTTTTTTCTCCACACATTCCAACCCCAATCCCTCATCCCCAGGGATTGAATGACATTTTTAATACCTCGACAGACAATCTTTCCAGATTCCAGCTTATTCAGCTTTTCCTTTGATTCATCCAAGGATTCCAAATGTTGGCTCTGCTCTGCTGGAAGAAAAAAAAAAAAAACAACAAACCCACCCACGGGAAGATCATGGAAAATTTGCCTGGTGCCCATCTGACCTTCAGGAGGTGGAAAAATCATTTGGATAAAATAAAAATTAAATAAAATAATAAATAAAAAACAAACTGGAATTTCTGGTTCAGGCTCCATCCATGAATATTCAATGAGATCCATGCAATAAAGGGAATTCCAGCTGCTGGAAGGAAGGGTGTGTGGAAAAATCCACCAAGCAACCTTTGGGATACAGGAGCAGCTTCCTTAGGGATTCACTTTTTATTCCATGAAAAATGGGTTTAATTGAGGGGCGGAAATCATGGATTCAGTTTGGACAAGTGGTATTAGGAGACAGGAATTCCAAAGGGCAGATTCCAGGTGGGCATCCCAGAGGAATTGGGATGAATGGGCTTCACTGGGCACTTCCTGGGTTTCAGCAGGGTCACCATGGAATCTTCTGGCTTTGGGATTTCTCCTGGCTGATCCCCAAGGGAGGAAAAACCCAGGAAAATGCCCGAAGTGTGGAATTTATCCCGGGATTTATCAGTGGATTGATGTTGCAGTAAGAGCAGGGCACGCATGGAATTTTTGCACCTTCCCTCTTTAACTCCCAGGTGAACTCCCAGCTCTTTGTTCCCTGATTCCTGGGATGGGATTATCCCTGGGATCCAAACATTCCCTGTGCCACGAAGCGTTTGATCCATCCTACAAATCCCAATTTCCAGTGCCTTGGAACTGCAGCTGAGGCAGGAGAGACTGATTTCATCCCCAGATTTATTCCCGGGATATTTTATCCAGCTCCAGCCCCTCCCTCACCTGGAATGCCTCAGCTGCTGGCCTCAGCCCACTCCTGGTTTTCCTGGGTTGTTCATTCCCACCCATTGGGGTGTTGTTTTGGAGAACTCCATGGAAATCCGGCGCTGTTGCCATGGGATGGGCGACGCTCCGGGGTTTCTGTGTTCCCTCTCCCTTTAACACTTAATCCTCCCTATCTGCCCATCATTCCCTGGAAAGTCAGGGAAGGTGAAGCTGTCCCCACTGGCTCCCTTCTCCTGAGCCTTTAAGCCCCGGATCCCATTCCTGACCTCGAGCCGGGAGTCATCCCAAATATCGGATGGATCCCATTCCCTCAGCCGGGGATGAACCCGCTTTTCCCAACAGGAAAAGCAGCAGCTCTTGGGAAAAGCTGGGGGTGAACAATCCTGGCCCGTGGGGGTGGAGATGGCACAGGAATTTCCGTGGGGATCTGACCCTGGATGCAAACGCAGCCCAGGCCTGGAAGTGCAGTGAGCTGGGAATTGTCAGGGAAGAGTTTTCCCTTCACCTTCCACGGATCACCTCTGCTGGCTGGATTTGGGTTTATAATCCTGGTTTAATCCCTCTGGGATGGGAGATCCAGGACTGCAGCCCCCCTGCTCCAGAGGATCCCTATTTCATATTCCAGAGGGAGATTTGGGCCTTTTCCTCTCCCTGCCCCAGAGGTGGATCCCACTGTGGCTTTCTCTGGAGAATCTGGTGGAAAAAAAATAAAGGATAAAAACCCCTCCAAGGCCTCGATGAATTTATGCTTTTCCCAGCAAAACAAAGAATCATGGAATGCTTTGGACTGGGAGGGACTTCAAGATCATCCCATTCCAACCCCTGACACGAGCAGGAGCAATTTCCACTATCCCAGGGTGCTCCAAGCTCGTGGGCACTTCCAGGAGTGGGGCAGCAATCCTGGGCACAATTCCT